AGGTTACACATTAATTGTTCATTAGAGTTTCGACAGAGTTTCGACAGTCATTAAGAGGTTTCGCCCACAACCTTAATGATAATTGGGGAAACCCCTATTTTCGGATGAGACAGCTTTCCAGCTTTACCATAACACAATTGAAAGATGTTATAAGAATGTAAGACCCATTTACCCAATGCCAAAAGATCACACCAAAATTTTTGCCTGGGGTGGCTTTTGCATCCATGGAAAGACCAGTCTTTTTTGCTTCTGAGAAATTATGAATGCAGAATTTTATGTTGAAATATTGGAGAATCATCACCCAGAGATCCAAAGAATGTTAGGAATGATTGGCGGTTTCAACAGGATAATGATCCCAAACATACAAGCCACTGAGCCAAAACATTTCTTCAAGAAAGTTATGGATTGCCATCCAACAGTCCTGATTTAAACCCAATAGAAAATTTGTGGGCTATTGTTAAGAGGAATGTGGAGAAGAGAATGCCAAAAAATCTGGCAGAATTGGTGCAGTTTATGGCTGAGGAGTGGGATGCAATTCCTAATTCACTTCTAATTAGTTTAATTCATTCAATGAAATCGAGATGTGAACTGGTCATTGAAAATAATGGCGAAAGGATTTCTTATTAAAATATTATCAATAAAAATTATGATTTTAAGCTATCAAATGAGCCATTTTTCACACGAACTAATACAGTAGTTGTTTCACAATGTTCATTTAAAAATTTCCAATTTTTTTTGTAACACACTGTATAAATAATGTTTAAATTTTCTTCATTTTTTTTGAATTGTAGAATTATCTTATTATCTTCATCTCTAAAAAAACAATCATAAGTATAAAGAAACTCTTTGACAGTGAAGAATAAAAGGATAGTCTTTATACTAATCCCATATAATTATTTTTTTTTTGGGTAGGCTTTGGTTTTCTAAACCTAGTTTGAAAAGTAAAGCATAAATATGGGACATACTGCAACAAAACCAGATAAAGTGAACATTGGTATTACCAAGGATTTCAGGGATCAATATTTGTAATGTGATTATTAAAATCTCCATTTGTTTGTTATTTTAATATTCAGTAATATATAGAGTTACTCCTATATAAAAATAGTTAATATGAAACTAATTTATATCAGGTCTATTATGGAACCCAAGAATTACAACACCATTAGAAGTATTTTGAAAAAGGAACAAGGTGAAAAAATTGCTCCTTACATTTTCAAAATAAATGATACTCAGTCACTTGAAACTTATCTAAGAAAAGAAAAGATTACTTATGAAATTTACCAAAAAAGAAAAATAATAAATGAAAATAGTTTAATTAGTAACTTGGAAAAGAATCTTACTGCAGCTACAATCATCACCACCATTACCCTCAAGAAAATTTCGGATTAAGCACCAATTCAGAAATCAAAGTTCTACAAAATTCATTTTAAAAAAATGTTCAAATTTTCATTATGTGTTTGTTCTAATGTATCACATGATTAATTAGTATTCTATCAGATGCAAAAAACGGCATGAAATAGTTTTTTGTAGAGATTGGACCCGGGTTGGGTCCAACCGGGTCATGAAAATTACCACCCGGGTGGAGAAAAATGAATGTAACACAATGGTACGTCTGATTTATAATTCAATTTTTTTTACATTTCATGATTTTATCAACAATATTGTTAGAGTTGTCTTGTTACATATTAATATATACTAATTATTTTTGTTTTTTGGATTTTGTGTAATGCCACAATGACATTTAACATACAGATTATCCAACCTCTTATAAATAATAATTTAGTCAACAGTATTGTCAGAGTTGCCTTGTTACATATTAATATATTAATGTTTTTGAAAAAGAACATTGGATGCGAATTTCCATATAATATATACCATAATTCATTTTTATAAATAATAATTCAAACAGTTTATATTGTAAAGTTTGGAATTAATAAAATTATTTTTTTATCATTTATGTAAATTAAATCCATATATAGAAAGATCTGTTCACTACGTCGGGTAAACCCGCGGGTCACCCGGGTGAAGTTTTTTTAGACGGGTCCAATCTCTAGTTTTTTGATTCAAATATACAACTTTGTGTGAATATTATTATTTATTAGCTGCTATAGTTAGAGAATATATATAAGGAGCAGATTAGACAAGAGACTATATACAATACAGTAAATAGAATCAATTAAGTTTAAATTTATTTATTTTAAATTAATACTTTTGAATTTTTATTTAAGGGATCTTTTGGATACTGACAAAGATGGAAATTCAATAGAAATGAATTTTGTAGAGGAATGTTTTTGATTGACAAAAGACTTAAGGAAATCCAGTTCCTGATAATTTACCAAAAGAATGACACAAAGTTTCAAAATTTGTAAATTATTTTTTCTTCCTTGTTTGAATAATTTTTAATTCGTTTGCACAGTATAAATTTTATATTATGATAAATATTATTAGAGTTTCTCATGAATATATTTTTAATAATAAATTTGATAATGAATAGATCATTGAATGTGTGTATATTCCTTGTCATTATATTTTTTTCTTTGATGTAAATCTAATTAATTACATGAAATCTGCATATGATTCCAGACCACCTTTCATTCTTTCCCTCCTTTCTCTTCTTTGGAATTCAATATTTTCATCCTGCCATTCTAATTTATCTTTTTCAGTTTCAACTCTTTGCTGTAAATCTTCATCTGTAAGTTTCAAAGATTTCTTCATTTTCTCAACTTTTTTTAAGAATTTTTTTTGCCCATTTAATCTATTTAATAATTTTTTACGATCATATTTACTAATTCTCATAAATTGTCCTTTCTCTGGTTCTGATACTTTAAGAGATGGATCTATTTCTCTTCTTGCAAGTTGTCTGACCAACATTTGATATTTTAAATCTCCTGGTGCATCAACATACTCTAAAATAGCCATTTCTGCTTTGTCACCAGGACGAAATCCTAATTTGTGAACACGGGTATAACCACCCTCACGTTCCTTATAACGCTTGGCTAGCTCTTTGAAGAGTTTAGGAACTACAATATTATTTGGATCCTAATGTATATAAGGAAATATAAAAATCATTTAATAAAAATGGTGATTGTTTAATCAATTGAAAATTTAAAAGTTCAATCATTTCTTTAAAAAATCATGCCTACCCGAAGTAAAGCTTTTGCTTGTGTTCTGGCATGATGATTACCTATTTTAGCCCACTTGACCACCTGTTTTATTTCAAGACAAGTGTCAAAAAAGGTAAGTTTTTTATTTTTTGAAAATGATACTTGTAAATGTTTTTAATTGAAAATCATAAATTTCAAACTACTTTTTAACCTTATCTGCAAGTCTTTGTGCTGCTTTTGCTTTTGGATGTGTAGTCCTTATTCGATCATATTCAATCAAAGATGCAACTAAATTTCTAAGCAAAGACCAACGATGACTTGTTTTAAGTCCAAGTTTTGCATGATACATTTTGGAATTGTAAGATTCAAATTAAAAGATGATCAATTTTTATTGGTGCATGTACATAAAAAAATTTAATACGAAAAATTTTCATTGTTTTGAAATATGATCTTTAATCATAATAGCAAACATCATATAGATTGAAAATCATTATCATTATATTCTTCCAATCCAACTAAACCACACTTCTTCGTTTTTCCTTTAATTTCAGGCACAAGTAAGTAATCTTGTTAAATAGAAAGCAACCAACAAATAGATTAAAAAATACAAAAAAAATTACTGCCTAAAGTTTCTCTAACAATCAAAAAAGGTAAAAACCCAACAAAAATTTGCTATCTAATTCAATGATAATCTAAAACTTGAAACTGTTGCTACTGGAGAAGTATCCACAACTTTATGTTCATTTATTAGATTATCATTGAAAATAGGAATGATTCATCAGTTAGTACCTTGATGAGTTTAGAATCGGAAGATGATTATTTAATAATGTTGATTTGAAAAAAATTTCTTGTTATTTAACTTCAGTTACCATTTACCAATATTTTTAAAGTTTTACATTTTCTAATTAATTGCATTTTTCCCAAAATTTATCAATCATTGTTTTGATTTTTCTTCCTTCTCATGTTATTGCATATATTCTTTCATCATATATGTAAATAGTAACAAGAATAATAAATTTGGTGATAACATTGGCAAGGTTTACACAAAAATTTAATTTTTTGTTAAACTTTTTTAATAATCAAAATCTCCACATACTACTTATAAAAATTTTCAAGAAACATTCTAGGCCCTTTAATGTTTTTATAATATTCTATGAGATTTACTTTATAAAAATATTGTTTGTTGATGACAATTTTTGCAACGTCAATTATAAAAATTCTGGATTTTATCCCTTAAATGGTTAATTGGTTGATAAAATTTTTCTGATATAAAAATTCTCTCTAAGCATATCACTTCCTAATATGAAAATGATCTCCGAGATATAGCCGATCAGTCTTAGTCTGTAAAAAAAAATTCGGATGTTGTCCTTGTGGTTTTTGTATAGCTCTTTAAAAGTTGGTCGAATGACTATTTTTTATGTTGCTATCATTAAATTGACCAATAAGAATACAATATCGTGATTTTGTGTTACCATCAAAGAATACTTAATATTAATTCATTCAATAATACTTGTCACATCCAACACCAACTAAAATTTTTCCAAAACCGATTCACCATAGTTTTTTTGCAAATTCATTATTGTAGGTCCAATTGTTGAAATACACAGTTTGCTAATAAAACCCATCTTCTCTTTTATTATCAGCAATGAATGAAGCCATAAGTGGATCCCAATAAACCTCCTAAATTAAATATAAAAATAGCTAAAGATATTATGTTGGTATCATGAGTATGCAACTTGGTAAAGAGTAGTTATTAATAGAAGTTGGTGAATTCAGCCAATATATTATCAACTTTGGTCAAGGATAATGATGGGGAAATTGCTGGTAATATGTAATTACCATATCAGCCGATTTGTTTTTTGGGACCTTCTTTCAAACCCTACACACATGTAAACTCGATAGGTCGGTCATTTATTTATTTTAAACAATTGATTGTTGCATTCGGCTTATATGTATATCTTATTGTATGTGTATAACTGGTCAGTAGAATGATGATTAACCCTAAAAAAATTTATTTGCTCCGCCAAAAAAAAACTATTTTATTATTTCGTCAAACCAATGGCACCACCTCAAAACTAATGGATTATTGCTAGTATAGGGTATTCATAACGTTATGATCATACCATACTGAATTTTGAGTTCAATCAAAATCGATACATATGCTCAAAGTACACTTTTTGAGAACCTAGAGTTTTAATTTTATTAATTGTGTTATACATGGCATTTAATATAGCAATTCAATATGTATTTACCATGGTGATTATTCTTAATTCTTTTTTATCATGATGATAAGACAAAGGGTTCCGAATCTAAATTATTTTTTTGGTGACATCACTATACTGATATATATATATATATAAATATTTGGCTTTGATCATTGGCTATGAAAATTTGGTCGGTTTAATTGGTCAACTTCAATTTCGTCAATTTCAAATGCGACGAAATTAATAATAATAACGGTTTGACCCGCTTTGCAAAGTATTTCGTCAACCATTCTTTACTTTTTAAACCATCAATATTAATTTACCCAAAAATCTCATTTTTTTACATATTAATATTAGGGTCCTTTTTATATCACAAAAATTTTATCAAAAAAAAAATTTTTTTTGAACCATAACTTAATATAAAAATTTTTGTTTTAAAGTGCGCAACATTACAAATTTTATTTTGATAAGTCGATCACATGTGCCTGCCTCTACATGTACAAGTAAATTAAAATGTTGGATTCATGTGGTCATGCTTTATTTCGATTCTTTGCATAAAAAAAAAATCTTGCATAAAGCTAAATCAAATTTTTCTAGACATTTTTTTATCTCTCTTCTACTTTATTTTCTTCAGAAATTACATAATCTCGTGTAACAAAATAGTAATATATTAATATTAATATTTAATATATTTTCAGTCAACAAAACCAATAAAGTGTAACAAATAGTTGAGAACTGTTTTGGTCATAAAATAAATTAATACAAATTGATGATGGAATTCAATTTTTTTTGTTTGTTATTTTTACTATTCTTTTTCTTTACTTTCCCTTTAATTAATCAGTTATCCTTCCTTACTCCAAAATAGAGAGAGCTATTTCATAACTTCTTTCTTGCTCATTCCTCATTTCACACGTTCTTTCGTTCTTTTCGAATTCCAACGCCATTCTCTCTTGCCATTCTTATTATACTACTACATTTCTCCTTCGTTAATAAATTAACATTAATACCGAATACTTTTCATGGTGTTGGGAATAACAAATCAATTAAAAATTAATTCTTGTATTTAGTACATTTTTTTTATTCATTATAAAAAAATAAGCAACAACAAGAAAATAATAAAAGATGGAATCAAATTTTGAAAATAAAAAGATGTATCGTAAATCTCTCAGCAGGCCTGAACGTAATCAAGTAGCACCACCTTTGTTGACAGGAAAAACATCAGCTAATAATTCTTCCATAACTTGTTGGATTTTATTTTCAAAAATAGTCACTTTCTGGGCACCCGGTCCTTTATTATCTTCAATAGGCGGACTTAATGATAGACAATCTAAGCAAGCTTGGCGCGAAAAAATAACTTTATGTTTTATCGCATTACTTTTAGGCTCTATAGCTGCATTTTTAACTATGGGATTTCAAAGAGTATTATGTCCTTTAGTTGATAATGATAATCCAACAAAATTTAAACCTTATTTAGGATCTCCAGGTAAAAATTAATTATTCATGAATAAACAATACGATAATTATCATTAAATAATATATATATGTATATTTATTTATTTATTTATTATTTTTAGGACATCTTGGAGTTTTAGGATTTCAATATAACATAGAAAAAACAAAAATAGATCCTAAAAAAGGCGGCGTAAATTTTTATAAATTAGCAGCTGATAAAAGTGGTCAAGATATCACAAATCTTTTTCAACGAAATAATGGCTTAATTAATGAATGTCAAATTAATGAAATACAAAAATTTGCTGCTGTTAGATCTCCACTTTGTCAACAAAATTCATGTGTTCTACCATTCACTATAAGTAATCAATCTTTAACTGACTTAGGGTTTGTTAATACTCAAACGAGGGTTGGATATGATTGGGATCATTTACCAGATTTAGATAATTACATTGTCATTGATGGAAATGTTTTAAACCTTAACCCCTATATACAATATCAAAAACCTTTATCAGATGATCAATTAGATGTTATTATACGCAAAGTCTTAAGTCCAGTTTATGCAAAAAATGGTAAAGATGCTACTCGTTTGTTTTTTAGTAAACCAGATCTGAAAGCTTCTGTGAATTGTCTTGTCAAAAAATATTATGCTGGAAGCATTGATAAAGAAACAATCGGTTGTTTTACTTCTAGATTACTTTTATATATTGCGTTAGTTGTAGTTTTAGGAATAGTTTTGACAAGATTTACTATGGCTTGTATTTTCAGCTGGTTCATTTCCCCTCGTTTGGCTCATCAACCAAAAAACTCAAAAAAATATTCTTCTGAAAATATCTTTGTTAGTCCTCCATTCTCACCATATTTAAGTACCCTTAAATATCCTGGCAAAACTAGAAGCTTCATGACATCAGATGATGTAGGAAATGATTTATTCACTGTATTACTTGTAACATGTTATTCTGAAGGTGAAGCTGGAATCCGAACTACTTGTGAATCAATGGCTGCAACTGATTATCCTGATGACAGAAAACTGTTGTTTCTAATTTGTGATGGTATTATCACTGGTAGCGGTAATGATCGTAGTACACCAGATGTTTGTGTTGGTTTAATGGAACTAGATACTAAATTTAAAAATCCTCAACCAATGAGTTATAAGGCAGTGGCTGATGGCTCTAGACAACATAACATGGCTAAAGTTTATGCAGGACATTTTATACTAGAAAATCATTGCGTACCAATGATCGTAGTTGTAAAATGCGGTAATTCTAAAGAACAAGGAAGACCGAAACCTGGAAATCGCGGGAAAAGAGATTCTCAATTAATATTAATGAATTTCTTTAGTCGAGTCACTTATAATGATCGTATGACTGCATTAGATTATGATTTATTCAGGAAAATCCATTATCTTATGGGTGTTACGCCTGATTTTTTTGAAATCGTATTAATGGTTAGCAAAATAATTTAATTTTTTTTATTATAATTACTATTACTATTCATTATTTAATAATATGTTTATATATACACACTATATATAATTGTTTTAGGTGGACGCTGATACAAAAGTATATCCTAATTCATTACAATTACTAATCAATTGTATGTGTAATGATCCGCTTATTATGGGTGTTTGTGGAGAAACAAAAATTGCAAACAAACGCGATTCATGGGTTACTTCAATACAAGTATTTGAATATTACATATCACATCATTTAGGTAAAGGATTTGAATCAGTTTTTGGTGGTGTTACATGTTTACCAGGATGCTTTAGTATGTATAGACTCAAATCCAGAAAAGGGAAGACCGATTGGGTACCAATCATTACTAAACCTGAAATAGTTAAAGAATATTCACAGAATGAGGTTGAAACATTACATCAAAAAAATTTATTATTACTTGGAGAAGATCGATTCCTGACCACCTTGATGTTACGAAATTTCCCTACTCGTAAAATGATATTTTGTCCAAAAGCTGTTTGTAAAACAACTGTTCCCAGTGAATTCAAAGTTCTTTTGTCACAACGTCGTCGTTGGATTAATTCAACAATTCACAATTTGATGGAACTTGTATTAGTTCGAAATCTTTGTGGAACATTTTGTTTTTCTATGCAGTTTGTTGTTTTTATGGAATTGATAGGCACAGTGGTATTACCCATAGCAATTTTATTGACCTATGCGTTGATCATATCAATGATTATAAGACCACCACAACAATTTGATGATATGATTCCTTTAATCATGTTAGGAATGTTGCTTGGTTTACCGGCCATTTTAATTTTAATCACTACAAGAAAACTTGTTTATATCGGCTGGATGTTTGTTTATATATTTGCTTTACCTATATGGAGTTTTATATTACCATCATATGCTTATTGGCATTTTGATGATTTCTCTTGGGGTGAAACAAGGAAAGTTGAAGGCGAAGAGAAGTCAGAAGATCATAGCAAGAAAGAAGGTGAATTTAATGCAAATAATATTCCTTTGAAAAAGTGGGAAGATTGGGAAAGACCAATATTGCATAAAACGAAACAAAGAGAAAAACAAAATATGCTAGAAAAACAACAGCAAAAATTGTATATAACAACATCAGTAAAATTTCCATCTCCAAAAAGTTCATCACCGACATCTACATCAACATTAACTCCAACAACAGCAACAACATTAACAGGACAAGAACAATATTTAAAAACAAATAATTATCATAATTCTTCCAATAATAATAGAGTCAATGAAAATGGGACTATAAGTTCTAATTATTCACAAAAAACACAAGAATTTACTCCACAACAGCATCAAGCGCATCACTACAATAACTACCAGCAGCACCAAGCGAACAAAAAATCGAAAAAAGTGCATGAACAACAAAGGAGACAGAATGAAGAAGAGGGAGGAAAGGAAGAAGACCAAGAAGGTCAAGATCAACAGGATGAACAGAATCAGCAAGAATATCAGGGATCAGATCAAAATAATGATTATTATCAAAACCCATATGAATATGGTGATGATGATAACGTTGCTCAAGATAATTATTATCAACAAGAAAGGTCTTTTTATGAACAGTCACAAGATCTTGGTTACGAGCAACCACAAGATTCGTTTTATGGCCAGGAACAAGGTTCTGCTTATCAACAACCTGGAATAGATTTATATCAGCAACCACAAAATACTTATTATGAGCAACCATCACCATCAAGTAACTTTGAGCAATTAGGAAGTCAATTTGAAGAATCAAAGAATAATTTTTTTAGCAAAGTCAAGTCATCTTTTAAATAAGGAGACTAATAATAATAATTGTTACATATGTAATACATAAAAAAATACATGAGAATATATTTATTGTGTGTATTCACTAATTATATTATAATTATTATAATTATCAAAATAAAATATTCTTACGTCAATTTTTTTCATTTCAAAGAAAGGATTTTTTACTAGATAAGTTAATCAATAAAATATATTGTATATTATAATTATTTATTTTAATGTATCTTTGTAGAGATGAAAAAATATAATCAAATTATTAAAAGAAAAAGTACTGATCGATTATTTTATTATTGCTATCATTATGATTTTTTTATAAAAAAAAAGAATCAAAAAGATTCATTGTTTTCTTGTTGCCTGCCTTAAAGATTTTATATCTTCTACTTGTTTATCATATGCACGTTGCAAAAATTCTTGTTTTTCAACATAACTAAAAGAATTTACAATTATATGTAAATCAAACTGGTTATTATAATAAATAACATTTATTTATTATATTGTTATGAGTTAATTATATTTACCCATTTTTATTATGATATTTTAATTCATCTACAATTCCTTCGTTATTAGTAAATTTATTCCAATCCATTTTAGATTTTTCCAAAGTATTTAATTTTGTAGGTTTTTTGTTAAGTGAGTTAATTAATTTGGATTTAGGTCTACCAAACTTATCTCTTGATTTCAATATTGAATTAAGTTGTGATTTTGGTTTTTGTTTTTGTATAGGATTTGAAGATTTTTTATTAGATATTGGTGTTGCTGATGATGATGAGACTAAATTATCCTTAATATCAGAGGAAATAGTAGCAAAATTATTCTCGGTTTTTGATTGTCCTTTATTGTCATCATTATTTGTTTTTATTGAATCATTTTTAGTTTTTTCTTGTCCTGATAAATATTTTTTTGCTTCTTCTGAATCTTCTGGAACGGTTTTATGTTCCCTATTTGATAGTAATTATAAAATTAATTAATTATATCGATATAAATAAATAAAAAATCAACTAATTTAATTAAAAAACCGGGTTTTTTTTTAGTATAAAACCAACGTAAAAATTTCACCAGCAAATTCGTATGTTTTAGTTATAGTTATCGTTTTATTAATTAGTGAAGAGGAAGAGCTAGTTGATGTCATCATAATATTGAAATATGATGTGTGAGAGAGAAAGAAAATAATCAACCAATTGAGACGATGTGATTATTATTTATGATTTTATTTACAATTTCCTATTTTGGCAAAATTTTTTGTATACTTATTATTATTATATTCAATCATAAAAATATAAAGATGAACGACAATAATATTGTTAATAATGTCTTAAACACAGCAAGATCTTCAATTCAAGGCTCAAGAATTATTTCTAATTTAACTGAAGCTAGACTAAATGATTTAATGCCAAATTCATTACAGCTCGATAACATTACAAGTGCTGTATCAACCACTGTATCAGCTACTGCCTCAATGCTTTTTTCTCCACTAGCAACTCGTGCTGTAAAAGGGGATACTGCTTCTATTTTGTCAGAATTAGCACCCCAACTAATGGATCAACGACGCATTTTACAATATGCCAATGGAAATGCACGCCAAACAGGCGAAAGCACAAATAGTCGATTCATTACATTGGATGAGATTTCTTTAAAAAGCAAATTTGGTTTAAATTCAACTTCATCGGAAGTTTCATTAGATGTTGAAATACCAGAATCTAAAGCTCCATTATCTTTATTTCAAGGCTATAAGATGACTTGTTCAGAACTTGAGATAAGTGTAAGAAAAAAAGGAAAATTATCCAAGAAAAGGGCTAAAGGTTATTTAACTGATGGATTTGCGTCTCCTGATGTTCTATCTGATAATGGTAATTTGTCAAAATACCTTGAATTATTTATATGTAATTTGGTTTTATATAATAATTTATAATTCAAATAGAATATTATGTGCCTTGTTATTTACCATAAATAAAATAGATTATGATTATAGGCCATTGAACAAGCTCATTGCAGATCGTGATAGAGTAGTCAAAGAAACCGATCAGTTAGCAATACAAGGGGTGAGTAATTTAATTGATATTTTATAGGCAAAAATAAATACATTAAACTACTATAATATATGTTTTTTCTTACATATTTAGTCAAGAGCTATAGCAGAAATTAAAAAAATAGAAGAACAAATAATTGAATTGTCATTGAAAAAACAAAATTTAGGGAATGATTTAATCAAGTACAATGAAAGACAAATCGAATTATCTGATCAACGTAATAAATTTATTTATTTTATGAAGCAAATAAATTTTGTTAAATCTTAATAATACTAAAAAAAAGATATTATTTATTGATTAATTATTTTATTTATACAAAAAATTTTGATTAGTGGAGGAATTAAATGAAAGCATTAAAAGCATTTCAAATTATAATCATATTGAAAAAGGGTCATACAAAATTAAAGGTTGATTATTTATTATTATAGAAAATCACAATTTTTTCAATTTTATTATTTGAAAGGTTAATTATTAATTGTTAGAAAATTATGTAGGAAAGAATGCATCGAAACATAAATATGAACCAGGAACATGTATAAAGGTAAAGAAAAGAAAAGAAAATTTTATTTTTATATTTAAATAAGATATTTATCTTTTCGCGCAAAACAAATTTTTTTTAGACCTTAGAAGGTCACAATGATATGATTATTTGTCTTGATTTTGACAAATATGACGGATTACTGGTTACATCTTCATTGGATAATACATTGCGAATATGGGATTTGTCTAGTAAAACTTGTTTAGGTTTATTGAATAATCATCATGGTTAGTCTATAAATTATAATTTATCACTTTCTAATATAGAATAATTGATATCAGTAATCATATATTTACTAATAATGTTATTATCATTTGTTATAATTATTAGATATTGTTACTTGTTTACAAATAAATGATAATTATCTCATTACAGGATCAAGAGATAAAACGATATGTTATTGGGATATATCTAAAGCAAAACTAAATACCAATTCATCAGATAGCATAAATGTTAATTCTGTCTCATCGATAACATCACCATTAACATCATCCACTATCATCACCACTAATGCAACAAACCAGTTTAGCGAATTATCAAATATAGGTGGAGATTGTTTTATTGAAAGATTAGAAGGACACCATGATAAAATTACATGTCTTTATTCCGAAGGAAATTGTTTGGTACATATGAATTCTATCATTATCATCGCCATAATCGTTGTTGTTATCGTTATTGTAAACAACTACTATTTTTGTTACTAAATGATTTTTATATTTGATTTAGGTAACAGGTTCTTCTGATAAAACTATGAAACAATGGGACTTGGAAACAGGAAAATGTATTTTAACAATGGATGTTTTATGGGCAATGTCTAATTTTAATGTTGAGCGCAGAAATTACGAATTCTTTTTGGATGATTATAGCTTTGGATCTGGCGAGTTTGTTGGCGCTTTACAGTTTAAAGACGTAGGTTTAGCAAGCGGGACAGAAGATGGTGCAATAAGAATGTGGGACTGTATCCTATAATCACAACATAACTTTTAATATTTTATAAAAAAATTTTAAAAATTTTTCTTAACTTTATGAAATTTTAAAAGTAAGGACAGGACAAACGCATAGAACACTTCTTGGACACACCGGTAAATTGTCATGCTTGTATATTAAGATATTTATAATTTAATTGATTTATATACATACGTGTATTTTTATTAGGCCCAATAACGTGTCTTCAGTTCGATGATTTGCATTTAGTAAGTGGAAGTTTAGATAAAAGTGTAAGAGTAAGTATATTTATATATATTATGTTATAATCTTTAAAATTTGTCATTTGACTATTACAAAAAAAACCCCCGATATTTAACTTATTTATTTGAAAAGACATGGGATTTACGCACGGGATCTGTAATTGAATCATACTCATATGAACATAGTGTTACAAGTTTAAAATTTGATTCTCAAAGAATTTTTAATGCTGCTGGAAGCAATGATATTAAGGTTAGAAGATAAGATGAATATTACATATTTAATCAATTATTAATTAAAAAAACTTTTTATAGATTTATAACCGTAAATCGTTTCAACACTCAAGTTTTAATGGTCATTCTTCACCAGTACACTGTTTAAAATTTAAAGATACAATACTATTATCAGGAGGAAAAGATAATCTCGTAAAAATATGGGCTTTGTAATTTACTGAATAATGCCACTATAATAGTTGGTAATGTTGACAATGGCAATTTATTATTATTCGCATTATTGCAAGGAAAAATAACAAAGAATTAATCATTTATAATAGTTGTATTGATATTATTATATTAGTAGACATTAATAGACAATCATAATAATAGAAGTGTTAATAATTAATTAATTTAAAAATAGATTCTCCTTAATTAATTACTTTCTTTTGTAGATAATTTCTGTTAAAAAGAATTATCTTCAAGGATAAAGTTAATATTTATATTAAAATAAAAAATTATATTTAATATTGTTTCTTATTTAAAAGTAAATTTTTTTTGTTCGAATCAATAGATAAATAAGTACACGGTGTAATATATAATATTCAATGACTTCTGCCACAACTTATTTTCTTTGTAAACGATTTTTAAATGGCTTTTCAACAGAAAGGGACCTCTGAGCAAATAAAGAAAGATCTACATTTCAATATACATATATATTGTTTTTAAAGTGATTATCATATATTTATTAAATATGCAAGAAAAAAAATCAAAAAAAAACCAATTAATTTTACATAATAAGCTATTTATCATATAAAAATAAATACAATAGAAATAATGAATAAAGAGAAGAAAACAAAACCATCAATAAAGTGTTTTGAATTTCTATGAAAGATCAAATCCAACATCTGCATTTATAGCATATTCCAATTTTCTTTTGTTAGAGAGATATTAAAATAAATAAATATAAAAATTAAAAAAAAAGTGTTAAATATCAAAAGTCATGATTATTATAAAAAACTTACTCTTTCAATATTTTTTTGTCAGGATAAGCAGGTAATTTTAATAAATTAACACAAGTACTCGATGAAGGTAATCTAATTTCAGTCCCTGCTCTCCTTATACTAAATTTTGGGTGAAGTTCTTTGAACCCAAGTAATGGGGGACGAGAACATGATGTAACAAATTTTATCAACTTTTGTTTTTGTTCTTCAGAAAAATCAGAGACAACTTGCCAAAAGTTAATCATCACTGGATCATCTTCTTTGTAATCGGCATAAACAGTATTTTGTCGTAAATCTTCGATATCAATAGGAATGTATGCTCCCCCAACAAGAATTTGAAGCTCTTGCTATATATATAAAATGCAAATATAAATATATGATTAAGAAAAACAACAAAATTTTTTAAATTAAAGAATTTCTTGGACCTGATTAAACATTCTTAACCATTTCGGTTCTATCAAATCTGATAAACCATTAAAGAATGCTTTACATTGTCTGTATATTTGTGCATTAAGTCTATGATTTGCTACTCTATAAATATATTCAATACTATTATTATTGGTTACTGGAATATTAGAGCCTCCTGGAACTAATTCAATAGTTCGTGCCTCTCCAAATTCTAAATATAAGTAAGGGGAAGGGATAAAAATATAAATTTATCTATAGATAAAAATAAAAAAATATAAAATATTAATATTTACCATCATCCACAACGGTAAAATTTAATGATAAATCTGATTCTACATCTCCTTTATAATTTTTCAAAAACATTAAACCTTGGTATAACTCTGGATCAAGGGATGGTAAATCATCCACTTTTTTAAAAGTAAAGTTGTTATTAAAAACTTATTACTTGAAATAGGTATAATAATTGTTAATTTTAAATAAGAACTCACAATAAGATGATCTTCCGAGCCATTTGCTTAAGAAAAATCCAGCAAAGGCAGCATCAACTAAAATTCCTTCATATAAAGCTTTTCCTAAAATACGACCAATGAATCCATAATAATTTAATTGTGTTTCTGAAATAACATTAATTATAAATAACCAGTTAGCCAATATGAAAAATTGATAGAATATTTTAAAAATGTGTTGAGATAGTAACCTTGACGTGCATATAAATGAGGATTGGGATATAAAAGTTGTTCTTTGGTGTTAAGAAATAAACCATAATTGGTATCAAACGCTATATGTGTTATACTAAATAAATTGATAAAATTTATAATAAATGTGAATATAATAATAGCAGTAATGATGATAATATGTATCGTCTATTAATATCAATCACTCATACATACGATGTTAAAAATTCCTTGAATAAACCACCACCATCAATACCTGCTTCTTGAATACCAAATTCGTCAATAAATTTAATAGCTATAGGTTTTTTAAGATTAGGTCCTAAATCATTTAGTTGCTTAAAACCATCTTCAAAAACATTTGTACGGTGTATTGTGACGAAAGTCCGTCCAAAGTAATTATGACGACTATGATTATAACTAATGATTTAATTAATGAATGAATGAATGAAAAATTAGCCTCGGTATTAAAATTTTATAAATTAAATTAAATATAATTAATGTAAATCACACCGGCGAAGATCGTTTTGAATAAATTGTCGAAATATCTTTACTCGATCCTCAAAAGGAATAACAAAAGGTAAGTTATTCAAAATCCCCAATTTTGGACTAATAGAAGTTAAAAGTTTTTTATCAGCAACTATATTATCAGCAAATTCTTCTTCTTCTTCCTCTCTAATGACATCCTTTGCAAAAAGACTAACATCAAACTCTGGTGACATTAACCAATGATTTGGAGGCGTAAAGGAACGTCGTGAACTAAAAGGAAAAAGCAATATATGTCATTCATAATAATAATAAAATTATGATAGTAAAGATTTTATAAATTTTAAAAAATCAATATATTTCATTATAAAATAAGCATACTCTTTTGCATGTATTTGTTGTAATAATCTGGTTACAATGTCTCTTAAATAATTGAAAGAAATACAACTCCCTTCAATATAATTGTCCATTTTTAACGTAGAACTATTCCAATATAAAGAAAAGCCTATGTTCTATAACAAAATATATATTCGTGACAAATAAACTTATTAGTATATTAAATAAAAACAATCTAAATGATTAATATATATTAAAAAAAGATTAAGGAAAACCTTCAAAGTCGTTGATAATTCAAGAATCTCCGATAAACTTAAAGGATTCTTAGACTCATCAAAAAATTCATTATCTCCCATTGTGTACAAACCACGACTATATATTTCACATATTAAAGCAAAAATCGCCCAATCTTCTCCTAACAATGGTTCTATGGCGGAGGAATTATTATTATTATCACCATAGTAAAACTTGGTTCTTCACAAATTCATTGACCCCCCAAAAAATCAAAAAACGTTTCAGTTTAATTAAAATCATTTACCATCCATGTAATAATGCTTGTTTAAAAGTGTTTTTGGAATAAATCCTAACTCCTTAAGTGTTAACCATAAAATACTAATAGTTGGTGTATCTTTTGATATGGATATTATGTTATAAATTATACCATCTAATAATTCCATTTTTCGTGATGGCCATCTAATCAATAAAGTCATCATTAAAAGTGCTATCTTACGCAAAGCAACATAGCCACCTGTTTTACCATAAACAAATATAGAGATCCAATTTTGTGTATCAAATAACATTGAAATTCTTTTTTTTGTCAGAGAATCTATTTTTTGTATTATCAATAATTCTGATTTTTCTTGAATTTTTAAGTTGTATTCATCATCTTCTTCATCGATATCTGCGGCTTTATTGATTTTAATTGTTTAAAAAAAAATTTTCTTCTTTAGAAATCATCAATTGAAAAATATATGGTTAAAGTGCCACTTTTTTAAATAATAAAATGATATTAATACCAAATGTATTTGATTTCTCCTCAATCAAACTTGTTGGGATTTGTAAAGATAAACGTTGTATAACTCCTAAATAATCTTCCTAAGTTTTAGATGAAAATTCACAATAGGTAATTAATTATAAATAAAAAAAATTCCATAAATAATTTAAAATTAAATTACCATTTGAAAATAATTATTCGATTGATTTAATTTTCCAGATACAAAAGCCACCAAACTACTCATCAATTCAATTTTTTGTTCTAAACTTAAAACATCAAAATCCATACTATTTAGACTTTTTAATATATCTCCCAATTTCAAATCTTCAACATTGATACGATTAGGTAAATTTGGTATTGTAAAAATTTGTAGAATAAAATTTTCTAAGATCATATTAAAATCACCATTTTTATCATTTTTATTGAATAATGGAAGAATTGAAAACAAAATAGAAAAAATCAATTGATTTTTTTTATCTTCAATTGGCTACATTAAAATAAAAATAAGTAATGAGTTAATTTCTGTACGTGAAACCAAAATTTAATTCTTTACTTATATAACTCAAATATTACTCTACCAAATGAAGTAAAATTTCCCTAAATTCACGAAACATGCCATTTTTGACAAGATATACCAAAATATCCCGAACAGTTTTACTGTAAAATAATTTGAAAATTAGTCAGGTAAAAAATGTTTAGGAGTTTAGTAAATTAGGAAAACATCTAATTTAACAACAACAACAACAACAACAACAATAATAACAACCTTTCATCATAATTTTGATGAAGCTTTCTATGATTATGAAGCTCCGTTATTGACTTTATAATAGCTAAGTAGGTTAATTTAATGGTGATTTGATTAGAATATCTATAAATTAAATTTAAATAAATATTAGCATTTCTTTAATATAGTTAAAATTGTTTCTTAATAGCCTTCATAACTCATTACATCTCATTTGATCCAATGGATTTGACAAATATTAGTAATGTTTTCTTTAATTGATATGTCCAAGTTTCATATAAATCATTAAAGACAAATGGAACAAACAAAATATAAGAGTCTATAACAATAACAATTTAATAAAAATAAATTTAGTAAAATGTTTTTTTAAAAAAAATAAAGGGAGTAATATTAATTACCGAATGATTTTTGAAGTAAAATGTTGGACAATAATTTTTTACGATCATTATCATGGTGTAGTTGATAGAAAAATAAAAATTTCCGAACAAATGTTATCAATGATAAAGCCATCTCACGTTTGTTTTTAACGTTCTGTAAAATTATTTTTGACTGATTGTCCCAATTTTCACGCAATTGTGAGCGTAACTTTCTTGCTTCAATTCTTCCATAATAAAATGCCTGAGTATTATTTTGTTTTTATAAAAAAAAAAGAAATTTAGGAAAATTCGTTAGAAAAAAAAGGAAATTAAAACACACATACTTGAATTTTTGCAGCAGATTTCTGTCTTGAACGTTCATTTTCACGTTCTTTACGACGATCTCGGGCATCTTTCACTACTGAATCCTTGTTCTCTTGTGATTTTTTATTACCAAGATTTATGCTACGACGTGATTTATAGTTGCCCTCAAAGGTAAACATATTTACTATGTAGGATAATTAAAATCTAAAAATTTGGCCAATTTTATTCAATATACATACAATCACACCTCTGTAAAGTCACCTATCCTCTGTAAGATCATAAATTGTATAAATTAAATTTTCGTCTGAAATAATCAAACTTTTTTTAAAAACAACAAATTTTCTAACTATAATAATGAATTAGATAATTAAAATATTCTTAACAAAAAAAATGTTTTAGGCTTTAACTAAAAGTAAACATCAAGCATCAAACAAATAAAAAATACCATTTCAAAGACATAAAGAAGAGGGCAGATTAAAGACACTTGCCGTGAATGATTGGGCTGGTAGCTACCATTGCCGTAAATAGCTGTTGGTATCCGTAAATAATTACGGCTGCCGCAAACAGATGCAGTTGACGTAAATAGCTACGGCTACCGCAAATAGATACATAGAGGTGCAGACATATTGTCGAACTTATAACTCATAGTTATAACACGGCTATGTCGTAACTATGTCGTAACCCTTGTACTTGAAAAGATTTCCGTATGCCGTAACTGTTTATCTTTTCTTTTAATATTAAGTGGTGCCAACCCGAATTAGGTAATCAAAAATAAATCTAGGTACAGTCAAAACACTATACCGTAAAGTCTGGAAAGGTAGCTCCCGTGACAAATATCAATTTTCTAGAAATTGTGCGTGACAAACCATAAAATTTACTAAAAAGACAATGTCACAGGGTACTATCTTTCCAGACCTTACATTTTTGTTTCACATATAAAAACATTAAAATCCATTGTGGAAAGATTAGTATAAGTAATAATCCCACCACACGGACTTTAAATAAAATTTTCTTATGTGTCCCATTCATCTGCTTGGTGATAATATGGCATACAACACTTGTCATGTGCCATATTAATGTTGTAATCCTCAGTATTCATACGTTTGCACCTTTATAGATACAGCTACCACAAATAACTATGGCTGTTGCAAATAGTTTTCAATTACTGTCATTATGTAGTAACTGAATTTTTTTGAATGTAATTGATGAATTCAATTAGTTGGTAATAAAACTATGTGTAAAAATAAAACTTGCAGCTATTTGTGGCATTTGTATCTGTTTGTGGCAGCCATATTTGTTTGTGGCAGCTGTATCTGTTTGCAGCAATCACATCTATTTGCACTATTTGCAGCAGTTGTATATATTTGTGGCAGTTGTATCTATTTATGGCAACTGCATCTATTTGCAGCAGTCATATCTATTTGTGGCATCTGTAAATGTTTTTATAATGGTAGTGCAAGCATGCAATCTGAGTTTCCTAATTAATAGGTTATTTAATGCTCAACACACAGCCTACCTGCTGACTTAGAGTTGATTCTATTGTTTGACATCAGGAAATTAATTTAGCGTAAACTTGCATAAATCTTACGATGCCGACGTAATATTGTGTAAATCTTACAGTGCCGACGTAAGTTTTACACTTTTTTATTATTAAACTTACAATTGACACGTGTAAAATTTTTTTATATTTTCTGGATGGACACACAGCATACCTGCTGACTTACAGTCAAATTTCCTTTATTTATATATATGACACACAGCCTACCTGCTGACTTATGGGTTTATCCCAATTGACCAACAGACATTATACCGACAGCCGTTATACCGACACCGTTATACTGACAGGACGTTTTACCAACAGGACATTATACCAACAAGACATTATACCAACAGGACATTATACAAACAGGACATTATACCAACAGGACATTATACTGACAAGTCATTTTCTAATATATTCTATCAATTTAGCATAATACAGTCAACCCCTCTAAGCGCACCTCTCTAAATGCACTCACTATACAAACCCTCTCTAAATGCACGCTATGTCTCATTCCCAAACTTATAGTGAGCTTATAAATTATCCCCTCTAAATGCACACCCTCTCTAAATGCACGTTCATGAGAAATAATGATATGTTCCCAAGGAGGGTGCACTTAGAGGGGGTTGACTGTATTTCTTTGCTTTCCTACCATAACCATATCAGTTCATTACCATTATCTGTTAATATTAATAAACGGCATATATAATATATATTAATATATCTGATGATGTTAGCTGATTAGCCAGCTAATCTGTCAAACCATTTATTAGCCAGCTAAGCTGTTCAAGTCTGTTAAACCATTTACTAGACGGCTAGGCTGTTTAAGTGGTTAAGCCATTTATTAGACGGCTAGATTGATTAATTGCACTATGAAATTACTTGTCGGTATAATGTCCTGTTGGTATAATATCCTGTTGGTATAATGTCTTGTCAGTATAATGTCCTGTTGGTAAAACGTCCTGTTGGTATAACAGAGTCGGTATAACGGCTGTTGGTATAATGTCTGTCAGTCAATTGGACAGGACCCCTGACTTACAGTCAAGTAATAATAAAAAAATACTTTTATATTCCTGGATAAAAGGATCCCTAGGTTCTATGTAAATAATAATATCTCAAAGGCATCCCTTTGAGATGTGTCTCAATAATTAAAGTGGTGGTTACTTGCTAGGTGTAGCAAAGGTTTCCCTTTGTCAGGTTATTGATTTAGATCAAAGATAAATATTTAATTTAGGTAAAATATGTTATGTGTTTTTATTAGCAATAATTATATTATTACAATATAGTGCCAATCATCTAAAGACATCAAAAATTTTGGCTAAACTTTAAAATGTATAAGCTCAATGACCATGCAAGATAAAAAAAAATTCTCTATAGTTTTATTCTATAAGACATAAGGAAAGATGCAACAGAGAGTTTTTTTAAATTTTATTAAAATGAAGAGAGTTATGATGGTTTAAAGTTTGTCATTTTTACTATTAAAAAAAAAATTTTTCACCACTATTTAAAGAATATTTTCATGATATAAAAAAGTGTCACATGATAACTGTGACTTGTGAAATTCCACTAAAACAGATTCAGAAACTCTTCTATGAGAGTGATGCATTTTAACTGCAAAAATAGCAGCTTTAATAGAAAGCCCCATCTTATAGACACTCATAACCTATAACATCTTCTTGCAAATTTACAAATTTTACAGAGAGAAATAGGATTAAGAGCCAGTGACATAGTTTGTTGTAAACCTTTCCAAGATTCTGATTCTGTAGTTAATGATAAATCTCTCCAGTCTCATCAGATTCAATTAAGGTTGCTTGCCAAAACTCATCCAAAAATCAATCAGCAGGGTTTCAGCAGGTTACACATTAATTGTTTATTAGAGTTTCGGCAGAGTTTCGCATTTTGAGGTTTTGCCATTTCGGCATAGTTTCAACAGGATTTTTGATAAGATTTAATATAGTTTTGCCATGGTTTCAGCAATTACTAAGGAGGTTTCGCCCACAACCTTAGATTCAATGTATTGATAGATCAACTCTTTGATTTCTAAACTGGGTTCATTTACATCTAATTCATTCAAAATGTTTGTGTCAATCTGAGATTCATTTTCAAGCACCTCCTTATCAATATATTCATCTGTAATGCAGTCAGGGATTTTACCAAATTTGGGAATTTCCAAATACTGTAATGATCAACGTGGCAAATGCAAATTTTGATTGACAAATAAACAAGTTTGTGGCAAATTAAATTTTATTAGTTTTAACAAATTCATATCTAAAATTCATTATACCAAAATTACTGATTGCATTTCAACAAATTTATTTTTTTATGTGTGAAGCAAAAATTTTAAAGTAAATAATTAAAAGATTCATAATTAGATAAAATTATTTTGATAGGATAATTTAATAGATTTTAAATAAAATAAAAGGTAATAATTAATAAAATTAAACAAATCAATTGCTTGAAGATTCTAAGTCTTTAATAAATCTATAATCAAAATAATAAAAAAGAATGGCTTAGTATAAGTTATAAACAATACAATAAATAACAACAATTTTATACTTATCTTATTGCACTTGGTTCAATTGTTTTCATTTTTTAAAGTTTATTAGTTGCTATTTTTCCTCCTATATCATGTCTTCTGCTTCATTATTATCATTTCCATTATAAAGATCTTTAACTTGTTGCAAAATTGATAATAATTCATCTTTACTCTTTGACTTTATTCCTTTAAACTGTGGACGATTAGCTTCATTCAAGGATCCCAATAATGTTTGGATAACTGATAATAATTCTTTTTTTGACATATATAGAACTTTCTGTTGATTGCTTTTCTTCTTCATCAGCAGTAACAGGAATGAGATGGGTAACACCCATTTGCTCTTTAGAACTGAGCTTTTTTTTGATATAATCTATTCGAGAAGCTTGGGCTAAAGAAGTAAATGATTTCATTGCTTCACTTAATTTATTATCCCCATCCAAACTTGATTTATTTCTTGTGTCTCTGTTTGGAACTCTGAAAGTGTGTATTACACTGAGGACAATTACGCTTTAAATTTTTTATTTCTTTCATACCACATTTACTACACCTCTTTTGTTTTCCTATATTTGAACTATGATTATCCACCAGATCATCAATAGGATTTATCATTTGATTTTTTTCTTCAGAAGCTTCACTTATGATAATGGAAAGATAATTGTAAAGCTGTTGATCAAGTAATTCTTGAATTTCTGGTGTAATGGTAAAAAGTTCCTCAATCTGTGTTGAATTTAATGTCTCATATAACCAAGGGTCTTTGAGAGCTTGTATTTGATTATTAGGATCAAAATTGGAAGAAACAAAACTTGTAGCAGTATGAAAAGTAACAGTATTATAACCACGATCTAAGTAATTTTTTTGTCCTTTTTGTTCATTATCAAATGCCATAAATGTTAAACCTTTGGGGAAAGGGTTTGATTTTTCAGCCAAGCTTTCTTGCCATTTGAGAAATTTTGAAAAGCTTCCAGAACTCAAAATATGTTTATCAATATCAATAACTGTTTTAGATTTTGCCAAAGAATATTTGATTGCTGAGGCAGCTAAATTTATTGCAGAAACATATTTTAAATTCCTTGCACCATAGATAGCATCTACTACCATTGCAC